TATATTTATTTCTATTACAAGATTCCTATGTATAGTAAATTTTTACGAGTCTATAGCATGTTCCTACACGTACGAAGTATCTACTTCTACTACTACCTAGCTAAAAATCTAGATAGGTTAAGATCTAGACATATTAGCTAGCTCTATTATAAGACTATTACATAATATAAGTAAAGATATATTAGTCTATAATATACTCTTCTTTTTATCTATCTTATACTTCTTTCTACTAGTCTAGGCATTTAGAGGTATACTAATCCGTACGACCTACTACTACTATATAGTACTATTAGTTATACTAATAACTATTATTGTTCTGCCTTAATCTGTTCCCTACTTACCTATCTATAAGTAGTGCCTAGTATATAGACTTGCCTTATTATTTCTAAGTAACTAGTAGAGTAGAAGTAAGTATCAATATATACCTAATATTTTTAATATATTCGTAAGTATTATAAGATTAGATCGTACTATCTAGCTTCTGTAGAATAGAGTAACTTAAACTTAGATAATTCTCGTTTCTTACTATATCTATTATTAGAATATATATCCTCTGTTCTGTAGTCTAATATAAGAGCTAAATGCTAGTACTCTCTCTTCTACTATATCTTAGCACTCTTTACTCTACTTTAATAGTATGTAATAGTCTTGATTATCTATACTAAAAGGCTACTTTATACGTATCTTAGAGCCGTATAATTACTATACTAAGCCTATTATTCTATTAGTAGCTAGATAGATCCCTCTATATAATATAGTAAGGGATATCTAAAATATATAGTACTATCTAATAATATTAACTAGTATTAGTACAGACATAATAATATTAGTATAGGCTACCTATAGTATAAAGACTAGATCTATTAAGCTTAAGCTCTTCCTTCTCTCTAGTATATATTACTAGCTTAGTAAACATGGATTTTCTAGTAGATAGTTAGATACATTAAAAAACGCTATTATTCTACGAATATAAACATATTAAAATCGTATAGAATGGAGAAAAAACTACTTAACTACTCTATTATTAATAGTCTAGACATTTCTTATAGTACTATTACTATTGTACTTATGATACTTAAAGTCTTAGCTTATTAGTTTACTATCGTCGTACTATCTAGACTTATAATAAGATTATACCTAAGTATAGTCTATAGCTCTATCCCTACTCTTTCTCTTCTAATAATACTATATACTATAATTGTTGTCGTTATATATATTAGCTATAGAGTAGTATTTTAATTATTTATAAGAGTTAGGGTCGGGTTAGATAAAGAGTTAAGAGATATCTCAGTAGTAATATATAGCTAAATATAGGTAATTCTACTACTAGATAGCCTAAATAGATATCTAGTACCGAATAGAAGTAAATTAAGTACTAATAGAGAGTAATAAGTACTATCTAGCTACTAGCTAGAAGCGGCTCTACTACTAGATACCTAATAGCACTTAGTACCTAGTACCTACCTAGAGTATTATAAAAAAATTATTCTAGAGAGTAAGGATATAAAACTCTAAAAAAACACGCTTATAATATATTAGAGACTAGTATTATTTCACTTTATAAGCGTAAAATAGAGTTACTAAATATATCTAGAGAATAGATAGAAATTTTCTATCTCTATAGAGAGCTAAGATAATAAAATATATAACTATACTAGTAATTTCTCTAAAACTACTAGATCTATATTTAATACTAAAGAAACTCTTAAAGTTTAAAATAATATATAATATATATTCTATCTACTATATCTAATTTTTCCTAAGTCTATATTTAAAATATTAAGTTCTACTACTCTATACTACCTTCTTCCCTTACTCTTAGAATATAAAGATCTCTCTTTAGATATTATAGAATATTTTATACTTATTATATATTATATTCTTTAGAAATAAACTTTACTAATACTCTTTACTTTACTTCCTTCTATCTCTATCTTTTTCCTTCTACTTACTTTTACTTACTACTTATAGCTTCTCTTACCTTTCTTTACTTCTACTTACCTCTACTTCTACTTACTTCTACTTATCTTTATTACTTTTACCTACTCTTCCTTACTTCTTCTTACTTTCTTATACTACTTATAGCTTCTGTTACCTTTCTTTACGTCTACTTATCCCTACTTCTACTTACTTCTCCTTATCTTTATTACTTTTACTTACTTTTCCTTACTTCTTCTTACTTTCTTATACTACTTATTGTTTCCCTAGGCCTAGTCTATACGACAGAAGACCTTCTACGAGTATAGCAAACCTTATAGATCGTAAAACATAAGAGGGACAAGTTCTCTCTACTACTTTTATTGTGCGAGTCACTACTACAGATCGATACTCTATATTGCAGATCCGCTCCTAGAAGGGACGCCTTCAGGGACAGACTCTAGCAAAAGGAGCTACAAGTTACCAACCGCGCGACTGCTACTACGCTCAGATCACTAGCGACTCTCCGCATCACTACGCCACTCACCGCTGTCGCTGCTATGACTTACGATTTGCCAGTCGCAAGCGAGCTAAAATACCGCGTTTTACTCTGACCTAGAGCTGCACAGCAACATCTACCGCTCTTGTCGCATTGCCCATACTGGCATTATCTGAACCAAAGCTGCACGGCAACATCCACCGCTCCTGTCGCATTGCCCATACTGGCATCATCCGAACCGGAGCTGCACTGCAATATCCACCGCTCTTGTCGCATTGCCTATACTGGCATCTTCTACGAACTCGAACACAGCACGCGCATCTACTCGCGCTGTCGACCGCGACATTGCAAACCCTGCCTGTCAAAGGACAGGTGTCAGGAAGCGCATTTTCGATCTCAACACATCTCTACGCAGACCACTATCGACTTCACAGTACCACTCGGTAGTAGGGACACATAGAGACAGGCTGGCCAGCTGTTTCTGCGTGGTTCGACTATAGAGTGATAGTACGAAGAGCGGTGGACATTATGCAAGCGAGGCGGCTGGAGGGATTGTTATATATAATGGTGGACCGATCGTACTAGCACGCATGGAGTGGAATTGCACATTGGGCGGTGTCGATCAGGCAGAGGATCTTCGTGGCACGGACATACCATGCTGCTAGATTAGGAGTCGCAGACCGGCGATACACAATTGCAGTCTAGCTAGCTGCTCTTGCGCGTCCCTTTCTCGCGCTCCGTATAAAAGCACAGTGAAGGCGAAGGTAGCTCGTATGGTATGAACCCGGATGTCAGAGCAAAAGTATATAAGGAGCTTGGAAAATGTCGAAAATTCTGGCATACAAGCGGAGTCTGGCCCGCTTAGCTTGTAGATCAGAATTCTTATCGCACTTTTCGAGGCATTCGTCAAGGTGGGAAGACGTAGTTATCAGACTATATGCAATCTGTGTTCGACGAGTCCAGCTCCGCTTTGAAAGGGCCCTTCGAACTAGACGATTTTCATTGAACTCGATCCCAGTCAGTCTTACAAATGTACTTTTTGTCTATCGTTCCCTTTCTGCCCGAGCTATCTCTAGTCTCCGTTATCGAGATCGAGCGGCTCTTATGTATATACGAGTAAAGCTTTCCCAATATATCTATCCACTAGCGCCTACTACGAACGGCTAACGACTAGCTGTATACTAACATTCGCAGGGAATTTCGCGAGGCTGCGAGGCTCCAATTCTGTTCCACTTCTCTGTTTTAGACGTCTGTAAACAGCACCTTTTGTAAAGTGTCTCCGACATTGTAGGCTGGTCTAACGCATTGCAAATCGTATGCGTCCGGCTAGACCGTATTTGTAGGTCCCAAGAGGTATTTCAGCTTGTCCTATAGTGTCTCGTAGCGGGCGTCAAGTTTAACACGGTACTTTGCTGCTCTGACCGGTTCCGGTCTTCGTGTTCGTAGTGGCCTAGGTCATATTCCATCCGAAGAACTTTTGGTTAGAGTAGGAGAGTAACACCCGATGCCAAGTGATACTATAGTAGTCTCTACAGTCTCTCTAGTGTTCACATCTCCTCTACACCTCGAGAGCGTTTTGGATTGACCTTGAATCCGACCAAGAAGCCTGTAACCTATGTATGCAGCAATCGTACGAGCGTGAACGATCTACGACCGAGAATTCTTACTCTGAGTCGACTTCAGCTTATTTTTAGCTCATTTGATACTACTGCCGTGGGTCGATAGATCTGCGCCTCTACGACATCCGTCGTATCCAGCGTTCGCTCTTCGTAGGTTGGCAGTCGGCAAGTAATAGGACAATGGCTTGTAACTCCCGGCTGTCCCGATCTGAGCGAATTGAAGACATTCCTCTTAGTAGGAGTGGCCTACTCGGTCTTGCTTGTATGAACTACCGGGTAGACGCGAAGGAACTATGCTCTGTACTATTAGTAGCTACCTGCCGATCCGGAGATTCCGGAGATTCCACTTGCTATTGCGCAAAACAGTCACGATGTATCTCGACGGCTCTTTGTCCTACTTGGTATTGTTCGCTGTACGGCGGCAAGTACAATGGATGCAGAGGGTCCCTTGCTAGCTACCAGTCAGTTATTGTTCTCTGTTCTTTGTTCCTTGTTTCCTGTTCTTTGCTCTCTGTTCTTTGTTCTTTGTTCTTTGTTATTAGGATACTAGCGTAGACTAGTTACTTCTCGATCATGGGACTTCACTTCTGTCTAACACCTATGCAAATGGGATTCCCTCGTACATATGTCTATCTGTACTACATGCAATGACACAACTCCACAGCTACCTGTTTTCATCTTACAGATTCTATTAGCTCTAACACATGTACGTTAGAGATTTGCTAATACGAAATACGCCTACACAAGACACGAGCAACACTAGCGACAAAGTATTACTACAGCAATCTTCCTCTTCGGCCTCACCGGCCCCTTCAGTCCCTTCATCCCCCTCGACAAACACGTCTATCGTTATTATTGGGGGCCAGCGCGCAAACGCGCCTTTTATGAAGACCAGCACTGTCTTGACGGGAGGAGACACTAGTCACCAACGGGTCCGAACAGTACAGGCTGGGCAGAAGGCTGCGATGTCCGGTTTAGGGAAACGGGATGCGGAGAAGGATGACGGTAAGGAGGATCTGGCGATGGTCGATCTCCTGATTGAAGGAGTGATGGGTCTCGTGGAACGTGCTTTCACCAGCAATATAGACGACAGGAGCGAGGATTCGATGGATGCGGAGAACGATTACCAGCAAGAGATGCAGACGGTCGTTAAGGACATTCCTCAGAATCCTTCCGAGCAGCAGAAGCTTTCCAACCAGCCAGTGAAGCACGATGTGAAGAACAGTCAAGCTGGAGACGCAGAAGATTCTGAAGTGGATAACGGTTTTGACGCATACAAGCGAGACCATCGCGAGAACAGCGACAGCGCCTATGGCACATTGCCCGCCGTATCCCGTGAAAATACGGTCCCAATCACGGTCCCGGTAGCCGTATCGAAGGCAACTGTTTTTGGAGAGCTTAGCAAAGACCAACAGGATAAAGACTTAGGTGAGTTCTCAGACTGGAACATCGATTCTTGCGTGCGAAGCAATCATGAACAGGGAGATAGCGAAGGAGCTGGTCCGAAACTCGAGTGTGAAGATACAAGTCAGGGCCAAGGGACCGCATTACATCTCGAAAAGTTTGAGGAGCTCAGTAACTTGGAAGAGGAGCAGGTACCGACGGCGGACGGAAAGGCAATCTCGAAAGTTGTTCAGAGCGTGAAGAGCATCGCACCAGCTCTCGTGGCTGACTCCGAGGGACCAGGGGAAGTCTCAAACCTCTGCGACCTGGCAGTCCAGGCCCTTGTAGGTCAGCTGGACCGGGAGACCGACGCAGGGATTTCAGGCACTCCGTGGCAGAACAAGACGAAGAGCCTAACGGAGACCACGGGCGTCGCCTACATCTTTGTAGGGCCTCCCGTTATGCTACCTCGACCCGCGCAAGCTCCGCCCCCGAGCTATACGGGATCAACGTGGGGCCCAGTAACATTCAATATAGCTTCAACAGAGGAGAGCTTGACAGAGGATTGGGGAGACCTAGCCGAGTTCGCTGCCTATCTTGATCTTGGGGACATTGGCCTCGGCGAAGTTGTAGATCCTCCCGGTGCTGGGAAAGACAACAACGCAACCCAGCTTCAAACAGTCAATGAAGACCAGGAGTGGATCTTGAATTTTCGCCAGTACGCCTCGGCGGTGATGGACTGGGCGGGAATAACGGAGTCAAAAGCAATGAGGCTAACGGTTCCGCGACCATCTGTCGAAAAGGAAAGTGCGGTTGGTGCTTCTTCTACTGCTTTCAAGATGTCGACTCAAGGTCTTGCTAAGAACAACAACAATGCACAACCCACGAAGCAGCCGCAGCATTAGAAGAGCAAGACGGACCAGTATGTCCCCGGGAACAACGGCGGAGGACACGAGGGTCTGCCAAAGAAGCCAGTAGCGGGAACCCTCTCTGTTCCTTCCGAACTGCTACGTACAGGTGGTGCTGTCAACAACGAGATTGCAACCCCCCTGGACAGGCAGCGCGAGGGGAGAAAGAGGAATCGATACATTGCCGCGATCGAGACCACCGGTCTGCCCCAGAACAAAGCAGTAGACGATTCCTCTAGTACGTCCGATTTGCAGCCTCGACGTTCTCCTATTAATAGCAATAATAGCAGCAACAACAACGACAACCAAGGGCCCACGAAAGAGCAGCGCAAGGGGAGAAACAGCGACCGGCATCTGTATAGATTTCACACTTCAAGTCTGGACGTCCTGCCATGGGCTGCTATAACGAAGAAGAGGAGTGCTTCGGGTCAGACTAGGGAAGATAACTAGGGATCGTGTGCGCAAAGATATACTGGCTAAGCTCTACCGGCTCCACGCTCTCTTAGAACGAGGCTCTCGTCCGACTTTCTAAAGAGCAGTGTGCACATCGATTGAACGTCGTACAATCCTTTACAAGGCGTTGTGTGTAGCTGCAACGACTGGACACGACACAGTTAGTACAACTATCCGATTATAATCCCATCCACTCGGCTAAAGTACCCGTAATCGCATTCCATGCTTCTAATGGGACGAAGCTACTGTTATTGGTATAGCGAGGCTTAAGAGGCGTAATGTCTTCAAAGGGTGTAGTCTCTGTAACGGATAGTTCGAAGGGTTCATTGTCTGTGAAGAGTACATTGTGTGCAAAGGGTTTATTGTCTGTGAAGAGTGCATTGTCTGTGAAGAGTGTATTAGCTGTAAAAGAAGCATTGTCTGTACAGAGTGGATTGATTGTGAACAGTGCATCGTCTGAAAGTATTATATTGTCTATGAATTGTGTACAAAGAGTGTATTGTTCGTAACAGTGCATTGTCTATGAATAGTATATTATGTACAAAGAGTACATTGTCTGTGAAGGGTGCACTGTCTAGAAAGAGTGCGTTGTCTGTAAACAGTGAATGGTACTTTATATAGATAGTGAATGGTAGAGAGTGCATTGTTCGTTAACAATCAATTGTGTGTTCCTTTGGGCCTAGTCTGCTCTACTCTATACAAAGACTAGACAATGCTATCGTTTGTGTTCACTCTTCCCTATCAAGTGAAAGCTCTTTGTACGCTGAACAAGTATTTCTTTATTCACATGTAGTTGAAAGAGTGATTTGGCTCGAGCGAAGCTTGATGGATAGCTGTATAAGTATGGCCGTTCCTCGATCATTTCAGTGGGTCTTTCTCTTGCTACAGGCAAGCTTTCACTCGCAAAGTCTACCTTCATGTTGATCGGAGGCTCCAGAGAAGAAAGCGTGTAACTTGCAGAAAGACTCACAGCCCTCTCCACGAGCTCGATGCTGCCAACGACCTCGGCACCAGAACAAGAGTCGCCTGACAGCAAAAGAACTGCCTGGGAGTCTTGGCTTGGATTGCCAGAGCCGACTCCGACGCTCCTAGCGATGCAACACTTGGCAAGAACTTCGTTAGCAAGGCGTATAATTGACAGTCCGTCTTGGCTCGGCCGTGCGAAGAAGGCATTGGAAGATGCTATAGAACCATACAGCAGCAGTGGTCAGGCTGAAAAGGAGCCGAAACCACCGAGCACTCCCGTGCCAAGCGTCCCACCATTTGCACTGCCAAAGAAGACCAAGACAATTCAGTTCGTGGAAGACGAGATTGCCGCTCACGAGGCAGAGGAAGTCCCGCTTCGCGAGAATCGTAACACCGCCGACCGGACCCCGTCTTGGTTGAGCCGTGTGAAGAAGACATTTGAGGATGTTATAGAAGGCGACGCAGATGACGATGGGCTGGTGCTTCCAGTCAAAGAGCCACGACCTCAGCAGTATAGGGCCAGCATGGATGCAATTCTGACATCGTATAGTGGTCCGAACGCTATCGCTCCAACTGGCCCGCCGCCTCGAGCGAAGCAACGACGTGAGTATGCTGGCTCAGGTCCGGCCACTTCGAGTGTCCCAGCAATCAAAGTAACATTACCTGAAGGCGAGGACCTCACTGACATTGAATCTCAGGAAAGCCCAACTATAGCAGAGACACCGACATCGAAAGTGGAGACTGCAACGCCTCGTCCCTCGTCGTCGTCCACCGATTCCTTCGATGCAATGTTCGCGCAGTGGAAGCTCGATTGGAAAGTCCCGGAAAGTGAGATTGAGAAGAAGATTCTTACTCGCAAGCAGTAAGCTATAAATGGCACTCGATGAGACATGGTAAATAAGGAGGTCCTTAGGCGTCGGATTATTTCGTCTCTATGAAAGTAGGAGGCGGTCTGATTTGAACATTGCTTGACAGCTATAGACCTTCGCCAAGCGTGGGATTAGTGGATTTGTTGTGATTGGATAAGGAGGCGGTCTGGTTTCGCCATCTCATGGTATGCAATTAATAATAGGAGGCTTCTTGAATCTGAACATTATGTCTCGCTCCGTTTTGCAATCTTCGCAACTCCTTCTCCGTAATTGAACATACTGTTCTCGGGAAGTAAGACATTTCGCGCTTGTCCTTTGTTCTAATAAGTGTACGATACGTCCTGAACCTTCTGAGGTGCCATTGCGTCCATTTCAAAATCTTTAATAGTAGGCAGCTTATCCAATTGTCGGGCGGACTGTCGAATTCGCGCTTTATCCGTGAACATACGCCTGCAATCGTGATACCACTGCTGGCAAGACAATGGCTCGACGTTAGATTCGGAGTCTCATGCGGAACGAAATAAAGCGACATACTAGACCCGAGAGCAATAATCTTGTGAAGTCGGATGCGCAATCCCGAATTCCTGAAAACAGCAAGCTTTACCTAAGGATCCTTCGCAAGCATGTTGGCTTTCACACTTGAATCCTAGGAGAAGTGCTCTCGAGATATACAACCTCGTAGTCGTGTGTGGAGCTCCCGAGAGCCCTGTGACTTCGCGGGCCAGGCGGTGGGACGGTTTCTCGAGCACACCGCTGCAAAGAAGCCTGCATAAAGTCTTGGCCCTTAGAGGCTATCAAGGAGAGCGCAACCGTGAAGCAAGCCGTCTCGCGGGGATTTCAGAGTCCGTCAAGGCTCCATGTTGAGTCTCTTAGTCGGTTGGAAGCAGCAAGATGTCAGGAGCATCCTCTTACTCCGGAATCCAGCGCCCGGTCGGAGGAAGCAATGGCACGAATGCCAATGGGAAGAGGAGCGTAATGCAGCTATTTTCGGTTGGAGGGCCCGGCATATTAGCGAACCAGCATGTTGCTCCGTCAGAACAAAGTGTTCCCACTCTATCGCTCGAGGAAGAGAACATGTACGCCTTGCAGGCAGCACACATATCATTGACATTTGAGCAATTACTGCGCCGAGCTGAGAGCAGAATCGGGACTGGCAGGAGCATAGCTATCGAGCTGATGCTTGCTAATTTCTGAACTCCGTTGCAAAGAGCGGAGATAGATTGAGATATCTTGGCTACTTTCAGTTGATTGTCTCGTAGCTTTTACAGGACATGCCGTACTCCTGCATGTAGGAATCCGTGAAGCATCCTTCCATAAGATCTAGTCAATCAGTAGCAGCGTCCGTGAAGAGCAAACGCGAAGGATTGCCGCGAAGAGTCTCGCGTCCACTTCTCTCCAATCAATGAGGCTTGGATCCCATTTGAGCTCTATGCTTGCTCGCTCTTGGCGCGCTTGGGATTGCATTGAGTGGGTTGAATGTCGTACGGAACAGCAATGTCCGTGTGCACTTCTCTGGTTGTTGTCTGTTCTTCTTGGAGAAGTTCTCTTAAAGATGGATGTGCACCCAGCTATACATACTCTTGATCCATCGATGTACCAATGAATCGATCAGCGCGATTGGACCCTAGCAGCCAGGATGCCCGCACAACACTCTCTCTCCCAGTCATGTTGTCGGTCCTGCGGAGAGGTCAAACATGCGGGCATGCAAATCGATTACAGGATTTCGTGTGTCGCGGCAAAGCTTCTTCGGACGCCTGTGTAATCCAAGAGAATCCTCAAGCATCGTAATATCACTCTGCTGAAACGTTCTGCTCTGGAGGAAAGCGCTGAAATAAGCAAAAGGTATGGCCGTGACCCGAAGGGTGCATTAGGTACGAGGTCGAATCCTCGGAATCGGTGCACCGGTCGATAAAGCAAACTCGATGATCCACGACTCCTCGCTGATGGTCTGCTTGCAGCAGTACCGTGAGAGTAATCGCAACGAACATGGATTCGGAATTGTCAAATTTCGCGAAGACGCACGATCTGCTGTTGGGGGACGCCTGCGACGCAGTTTGCAAATGGATCGAGAACCATAACTTGCACGAGGAGAGCAAACTGTCCTTGACAACATCTAGCGAAAGATTAGAGATTCTTTAGCGATTCCCAGAAACCCGATCACGAGGGGCCGAGATGGTATAGAGATGTTCCCCGCGGTACTGAAGATGGATAGCATAAACAAAGCAAGAGTCGGCTGATTCTGTCCAGTGAGTTGGTGGATCTGATGCCGTCGCATCTCTTAGATCTGCGGTATGGTGACATGAACTATTGTGATTAGCAAGCCTCCCGGGTAGTGAAGTCAATAGATCTTGAACCGAATATTGAAGCATTGCCAAGAGCGACAGCGAGCGATGAATGGACGCCACTGGATGGTACATCTGCCCGACCAGCGCGGCAGCAGTCTTGGTAATTGAACGAAAGTAATCCAAAAATGCTTCGATCGAGTCACAAAGGGCGTACTGTGAGGCTCTTAGAGGACAATAGCATTGTTGAAGCTCCTCCGCATTCCAGTCACATTTCGAAAGTAGCGACAAGTGTATTGTCATTCCGCAAAGCCCGCTCGCACTGGTCCCATTATCGCATTCATCTATTCCATCTCGTGGGGCTCGAAGGGCGCCGCAGTACTCGTGCAGGCCGCAACGAGCTTTCTGCCGAGGACTCACTCAAGCATTTTGCAGAGATCAATCGTCGCAGCTCGCCCATTCCTGGATCTCAAAAAGCAAACCAGAGTGGTCGACAAGAAGCCATCCGAAGAAGTCGACATAATCGCTCAGCATGATGCTCAGGCAGGGTGCTGGGTACCTCGCTCTGGCGTGTGGCATTGACCGCGGCGCTGGGAGCGAAACCCGGAACCATCCTCGATTTTACGAGGGCATTCCAGCGGGGAGTCAACAGACGTTGCAGAGGATCCTCGGGCGCAGTTACAACGATGCGTTGTCCGCGAGACGAGATCTATGCCTTTCGAGCCCCTGCATGCTTCCTGATAACAGTCTTCGTGAGATTCGCTCGCGGAAAGCTTTGCCATTGGAGGAGTCGGGGATGCTTGAGCTCACGTGAAAACAGATTTCCGTGATCGAGGTAGCCGGACAAGCATGAGGCTCGCTTTCGTCCCGATTGCGACCCCTGGACACGTCAGTCACGACTGGCGTGCCAACTGAGTGTGCTAATTGCCTTGTCCCTCAGGCTATGTGCTGTCCAGTATCTCGTAGAAAGCTCTACAGATTGATATCCAAGCTGTAGCAGACTCTACCGTACCAGTGTTGATCGTGAAGCGCCGAGGGTGTATTTGAAGCTTTTATTGAAGACGTCGTCCTTTTTGAGAATCTTATGGCGGTTACTCAGGGAGCGAAGCGCCAAAACATCCCGCTTATAGTCTGATCGATCCATGAAGAGCGGAGGTCATGTTCGTCTGCGGGAATACAGGATATAGAAGGTTCCGGTCAGGAGAAAGTTGTGCCGACCATGGTGCGAAAGAGATGAACCGTTTTACTGTTGGCAGTTGCGGAAATACTGGATTAAAGTAGCAAGGTCCTGATGATAGTTGCTCTCACTCCATACGTTGGCACTGTGGTCCGTCAATGCTTCGAATGCGCTGTAGTATCTTGTAGCAAGCGAAGACGCTCGGCAGGTGAAGCGTCGGTCGGATGAGGCGTCGACTAAGTAGCGTTGCGAGCACGCGATTTGTGTTTGTTGACCAGTGTGACTCTTATGCACCTTCTTAAACTCGATTTTGGGGCGCGAAGTGAAGCAGATTGTCGAGCAGTCTGGCGAGAGTATAGCAGCATGGAAGTCCCTGGTAACACTTCGTTCCTCCAAGCCAGCTTCTCGCCGAAGCTCTGGCGCGCCTCTGTACTTATCGAGGTATCTGGAGTCGGCGCTTAGCGTGATTGTGAACCGGACAGCCGAAGTTCTTGGTGACTTGCCATGTCCTGCAACGGAGGGATTTCTCGGCTGCGATGGGAGGTCGAGAAAAATTTTGAGATCTGGAACACAGAAGATGCAGGCCACTTAGAAGATAAAAGCAGACACTGAGACATGACCGGATACCGACAATACGGCAATCCTTGTTACTCGAGTAACTCGAGAGGACATGAAGATTCCGAGAAAGCTATGCATCGAAGGTTGCTGCCGTGGACATGGGCGACTCTTGGTAAGCGCCGCTCAACCAATGTAACCGGTCCTGGTGTTGATCGTCAATACTAGGGTTATGGAGCCAGAGCCTTATGCCGCTGCGTTTGGATTCCGTTCGCATCCAGCGAGCCAGGGATTTTCAGCACCGTTCCTTGTTGTCCCATATATTGTGAATGTCTCAAGACCGGTAGTGGTGGAGCTATTGGTAGGTCCGTCAAACACCTTATGCGATCCTCATCGACGACTCCCTGTTATTACCGCGCCGAGGAACCTGCACTTCCCTTCTGACTGACCGACCACGCCTGGAAAATCAGGAACAGGGCCGCAAGATTCGGCACACGAGTCATTCCCCACCTGCCATGGCAGTGGACACCAGAGTCATAATCTACGTCTCCAAACCATCCTTCGGATCCTGTCAACGTCTTTGCTGTCGCTTGATCTATCGAAGCCCCTCGCAAATACCGGCAAGGCGGCGCATGCGCTGGCACGTACGCGTGGCGGGCGTCGCGACCCGCGCCGCAAAGCACGAGACACCGCTGCAGGCTGCGTATAACTGGGGAAGAGGAAAGAGAAGAAAGTCGATCAAGCCAGGGCCCCAAATGACTGCCTTTTCCTTTTGGATACCAGACCTGGGCCTCACGTGGCTTATTTCATCGTCGGCTGCAGTTGGTGAGATGCTAGGAGCCCGGGGCATGAGTTCTCTAAGCACCTTGTTATGCAGCGAGAGAAGTAATGTCCATGTCGTGCTTCTGACTCTGTCGTGGTCTTGCATATGGTCTTGCTTATCGCAGAAGATACGCAATGAAAGAGCTTTGTTTGGCGCTAATAGACGATTACCGATAGATCTTGAGGTGTTATGAAGGTACGATATTAAGTGAGCATGGGTATGCGGATCACCGCCCAGACTGTATCCAAAAGGAAAGCACAAGCTCATGCTTATTGTCAATGTGAGGCAGGCTCGGACTTCGTGCATTGAATCATATGCTGGAGGGGAGCAGTCGTTCGCCAAAGCAAATGCCGAAGGGTCAGAGTGGCCTTAGAACTCCCTCGCACGTACATGGGCAGGATTCGTGTCCAGTGATGATCAGGCGACCACAAGCTTTTCGGCAAATAATGGAACTCAAGGTTCAGTTGAGCAGGCGTTGTCGGGGCACGGTTCGGAGCAACGCGTGGTTGTGGTCGGAGACTCTGCACGAGCGCAAGGCGTAAGCTTCCTACCGGTTGGTCGAGGGGAGACCTCCAATGGGAGAGACTGTTGAGATGGGCCGAGTGCTGCATCTTGCTGTACAAGCAGGTGTGAATGAAGCCCGGTATGTCCCAGTCCTTGGCTGTCAAAGCGAAGCGGAAGATGCAGCCGCTGTGGCTGTCATGAGCCGTTGTTGAGGCTGATTCAACGCCATCTCATTCGCAAACAGCTGCTTTTCTTTCTAATCATAACATGCTGTATCCGTCATTCGACCCCGCCTGCTAGTGAAGTGCAAGGCCTTTGCCAACCATGGTATCCTTCTCCTTACTATCACCTTTCCAAGCTTTTGCAGAACTTCGCACCCTCCCACCGCATTCCGCATCGGCGAGCTCACTTGCAGAAGCGTATTTCAAGTGCAATGCCGCAGGTTTTGGGTCGAGTGCCGGGTAAGGAAAGGGTCGTGGGAATGCTAGCCGTTGTGCAGTAGGCGTACGTGGCAGAGTCGGGGTCTGCTTCGGATATGACTTGGTACAGAAGACTGGTATCTTCCTGGGAGGAGTTGTAGCCAGCAGCGTCGGGGTGAAGTAGTCGGTGTTGTTGATGTTCAAGTGTCGGACAGAGACTTGACATGTGGTGTGGCATTAAACATCGCGTAAGACGTCGTGGCTTCACGTCACGCGTTAAATCTAAATCTATTCAGGCTAAATCCAAATGGCGGGGCATCTCCGCCGCGTCCCGTCCCGTCCCGTCCCGACAAGTTGTCGCCAGCTGCAAACCCATAACTCTGCAGTGACTTCCGACAACACATCTCTTCACTTGACATAGATTGAGCAATCTTCGTACGCCATCACGTCTCGCCCGTGGAGTATCTTAGAGAGTCTTTCACGCCGCCGCAGAACTGGATACCAAGAAACGAGATTGGATGAGTTGTGCCCCGGCGCGGAACATGAAGCATCGCATTCGCCATTACCAAAGATGCATGAGAAGCAAAAGAGAAGGGCGGAAAGATGTTGAGACCAGTACACATGCACCACGTTCAGATAGCTTATTGAAACCACGGCCGTACACTGCGGAAGAAGATGTAGAGTGCGGACGGCAGACAGCGGGCCGCCGCAGCACACCGACTCAGCCAGACCATCTTGGGCGACAACACTGCCAGTCGGGCTCGTGTCATGACACCATAACATCATGATGGGAGAATTCCAATTCGCAATCTTGCAACACGTCCATCGAAGCGAATGGGGTTGTGCGACTGCAGTTGCCGTATGCGAATTCGACAGTAGAGATGAATTGTCGCCTTTACCCATTGCTTCTAGCATCCCGCGTCCGTGATCAAAAGGCTGGTTCATTGCGGCGACAGAAGCTCGACAAGAACTCATACTCCCATCGGAGTAAATGCATTTCTTGGTGGATCGTGCTGCGCTCAAAGCATCGATGTAGATGCTTCTCTGGACCTAACGCAACGCTGCAGGTGCTTCTCGGAGCTCCGAACTGGCGCATTCCTGTTTTCATTCCCTAAACCCAACCAGCTCACCACTTCTTGTCTACTTACATCCGAATTTGTATTCGTCTTCACCGCCTCTTGTGCTGAGGTAGAACAGCAATGGACGTCAACCAGTGGGTGGGGAACACGGAGATGATCGACTGGAGCTACGGAACCGATTCAATGGCGACGGGCTACCACACCACCCTCAATGGCATCGTACCGCAATTGGACGACCTCTCCCAGAAAGCTACAGTCCCCTCCAGCACTAACGTCGAGGTCCCGAACACAGATTCAATGACAGCGAGCAAGCAGCCTGGAGCCGAGAAGCCATCTTCGCGGACTCTCCGTGCGTCGGAGCGCATGACCAAGAATCACCGTACTTCCGCGCAGCATGATTCCAGCAGCTATTGTCCACCAAGCGACGAGGACGAGGCGGATGATGAGGCTTCTGATCAGCGTTCATCCTTGGACCACCGGCCAAAGAAACCATGCACCCTTCGTGGTCCTGAGGTATGAAAGCAGCTTCTACGTCGATCTGCCTCGCTAATCCCAATGCCAGGACCGAAAGCAGTCCCGCACCAAGTCAGAGCAGGATGATCGCAAAGTCCGCAAATTGAATCGTATTTACAACGTTCACCTCACCCGAGCGAAAGGTTTGGGCGTCGACTTAGAGGAGCATGAACTTGTAGAGGTGCCTACTAAGAAGAGAGGTCCTTGGAGGGAGCGAAAGATCAGGCAGCTGGAGGAAGGCATCAACGAGCTTAAGCAGATGATTCACGATCATCATCAGGGCGAGCAAGGTGAGCATTGAGCTACCAATGGCCACAGGATACTTCTTAACTTGAGATACAGTCCTGCAAGCCGCTGGGCAGATTGTTCCGTTCCCTAACGCCACCTTTGGCAACACTGCAGCACCTTCTAACAATATGCCGGATCCAAACACCATCTCCGTCGATAAACAAGTGCCATGGTGGGAAAGCAAGCCGATGGAGGAGTGGGACCAGGAACAGATAGAGGAGTGGGCGAATTCTCTCGAGGACCCGGTCATCAGCGATCGATCGGCCCCACAGATGAAAGCCCCGCCGCCTGCTCGTGCTGCGGCACAGCGCAATCAAGTCCAAGTTACCGCCGATGGCCAGCCGACGAGTGTTGACTTGCCCACATCAGCTACTGGAGCCAGCTTTGGAGCGACTAGTGATCTTCCTGTGGCCTATAAGAACAACGGCCCTTCCGGAGCCTACGTTACCAGTGCTGACGGAAATCTTCTTGGTCATATCACGGAGGGAGCTTTTGGCCCTGCAGTGTACTACGCAGGCACGGCTGTGGCCTATGTCAACAATGGACCTACCGGCCAAGTGCTCTCGAACGCGCAAGGGAAGCGTATAGGATACTACCGCAATGGACCAGGTGGCGTTGCCTTCTATTACGACCTCTTCAGCAAGAGCGACGTTGAGCATATGTCCTTTTCTGGCCTTTCCGGCGGTACCGGCGCGAATCCGAACGGCATGGGCAACGCTGCTGAAAATCAGCTTCGTCTTTCCCAGCGGACAGTCGACAGTACGCCAAAGGACCCCAAATCTACCCAAGTTCCCGAGCCCAGCCAGTACCATCACTCTGCCGCCACTCAGAGCGAGATTCCCAAAGACCTCTTTGAAAGCTTCCTCAGCGACCCCGCTGCAGCTCGAGATGCAGTTGGTGATAATGTCCAAGATCAACAAGCTTCAGGCCACTTGCACGAAGACCCTATCGCACAGTACATTCGCGATATTACTCCTGTTACCGAGCTTATGGATGGGATGTACGAGCAGCCGAGCAGAAAGGCCGTCCCAGCGGACAACACGACCGTGAGTCTTGACGATGCTCGTGCGCAGCCAGACATACCTCCGACGGCCGAAGGCGTAGACGCGGTGGAGCATCAAGGACTGGATGGTCAAGCCGTCCTGCCGGGCAACACTGCCAAGGCTGCTGACTCTGCGCCCCCACAGGCTACCAGCTTCTCGAATGACTTTCGCACGGCGACCAACCTCTCTCCCGGGGCGTGAGATTCCTAGGTCCCGCAGCCTGCGCGCAGTAGCAACCGCACCGAGGCATATCTTCTCCTTTCTACTTTTGCAAAAATTTGATCTCGCATTGAGCTTGCTCAAACATCTCGGCTGACGAACGGACCTGCGCTTGCACGCCCGACCTGGGATGACACACCCATCGTTGGAATACTACGACGGACTAAGTTTGACAGAACGGCCTCAAAAGTAGCATTACTTCGTTGTGTGAGGGTGAAGCACTTCTCCGCACCCTTGGCATACAAGCAAGTGATTCGAGAATGATCCCATAGTATCAAGGCACCAATGTCTACGAAAAAAGTACCTCGTACCTCTCGTTTTCCATCAATTTCTTCTAACCGATTGAAACTCCCAGGTTATGAGACGGACAACCACCTTCTGTTCCGTCCTAGTGTGAGCATCCTGCGCTGCGCTCTTGCCTGACTCTTGTCATTGGGCTAGTTGTCCCTGCCTGGATAGCACGTTTTCCAAAGGCAGGAGCCTACCTCCTGTTGACGGGGTGATTCCGGTCGCGGCTGACGATATATCTACGTACGCCACCTGCCTGCGTACGGTACGTTCTCCGACATCTTTACGGTTGTCACGCCCACGACAAGCACTTTCGTCAGATCATCCCTGTCCGACTGAACCACCCACGACTCGTGTGCGCTTCGAAGATCGTTCCCTGGGCTCCACGCCGCGACGGATGTGCCACTGCAACGACACTGCAGATACGAAGCCTCGAGATCGCCCTTTTCGAGGCGACGAAAGCGAGTCATACCCTACGCACGCCACGAAAGACTGCAGGGAGGTCGGATTGAATCGAAGCGATGCCAAGATTGAGCGACTGAGCCAGATAACCACAAGGTCTGCGTCATCCACTGGAGAGTAATCACAAGCTCAAATGTCGGACGGAAAGAGCGCAGCAGCTCGACCGAAGAGTATACGAGAACAACAGGCGGGAGCGAGCTTTCACGGCATGCCCGGCAGGTGGCCTGCGTCCAGTGATGCGGGTCAATATGTAAGAGATGGTAAATCCCTCCAGAGCGAAGCAGCAGTGGAGGATGCTCGGCCCAGTGCGAGCCGCGGAATTCCTAAGAGAAGGGCAAGCATGACGGATGAGTCTCGGACAGATAGCGCAACCGTTGGTGGAAAGGAGACGAGTCAAGAGGATGTAGGAGCGAACATCCAAAGGATCCAAAACCGTTACATTGAGCTGGAGAAATACCGTGACGAGCTGGTGGTGCTCTACAGCGCCCGCAAGACTCTCAGAGACCTCATCAAAGACGCCAGTCTCGAAGCAAGACGACAAGGCAATGCGGGCTTTGATAATAAGATTGAAGAGCAGTGGACACAATGTATCAGCCTTGCGAACATCTGTGTGACGAGTATGGAAACGGTACTTGCAAAAGTCGACCGCGATCTGCACGACCTGTTACAGGCGGAGCTGGCGATTATCACCGGGCTGGCTTGAGCGAGGGCTTACGGTCGTATTCGTATCAACAGCGAGGGACACCCAGCGTCAATCAACTCCTCGAAGTCTTCGGCCAATGTACCCGCAGAGACCTCGGGTCTCTATCTCGATCTTGTCTTTCGAGCGGAGACAACTGGAAATCCGGTTGTTAAAGAGTCTGATGCAATTCTCGATTCCCTAAGATACAATAGCATCGATTAGCATGGGTGGCCTGCAGAGATCCAACGCAGTGGATACTGTCCAAAGCGACGATGCGTGTAACAATCCGAACAGACATAGCATTGCAGGAGCTCGAGTGTACCTTGCTACCGGAAGTATGTGAGTATTTTCAAGCGGTACGAGCTTCTCCGTATAATTATGGTCAGCTGGTCTCGTTGGAGCAAACCCGAATCGTCTGCTTCTGTGCCAACTCTTGCAGCACCTGCCACGGAGGTAAGTAGAAATGAACAGTTCAGTTGTCGAATACTTCACAAATGGCAAGCTTGTACGGTGGATGCGAAACCGAAACGCAGGTTTTCAAAATTGCTGTGATGAAATCATTATACGACCGGAGATTCCATACGAACGTTCGCCTTGGGACGTTTGTTATCTGGGTCCTGGGGTGTACGCTCTACTTTCATACCGCGCGCAGACTCACGAGCATAATATTTGGGAAAAAGGAGCGAAGTAGATCGAAGTCCCATCCTCTACCTTCGAACATATATCAGACCTAAGTTCAAGAATTAACCACAGAGTATCTATATGAGATTTCCGGTACTGCCATCTTCCGCATGCCGCGAGACTGGAGCCTGTCCGTAGCCGCTCTCGAAGGCAAGCATTTGGAAAGAGCTTCACGTTCGCAGCGAGCACAGAAAGACTCTCCTTGTATGTCTCCTCACTTGCTCTTCGTGCAAGGATCCTGATTCGCCTTCTCCGCGCTATTAATTTGGCCGTGCTGGTTCTTCTGCAAAACCGTGAGCTTCACAAATCTTTCTGATCCAGCCAGGAATTGACTCACCATCTCAGTCTTCCCTCCTTCCCTCTTTACCGCACTGCCTTTCCCTTCCAAAGTGGAAGCAAACTGGATATTGTCCAGCTTTTTGTTGTCTTCCGCTTTCTGCTTCTCGCGGTCGTTTTTCTTACTAAAGACGCCGAGGATGGAGTTCATAGCGAGTAGGAGGAGGCGGGAGATGCAATCGCTTGTAAATGGTGTGGAGGTAGAGTGCTTCCTTGGACGATTGTTCTGACTGGGAATCGTGGGAGTTGTGTTTCATTCGTGATAGAGAAATTGACTTGCTAGGTCCTCTTTCACAAAAACAGGGAGCATCAGCGGCCGGCATATGTAGCTTCCTACTAGCAAGAATGCCAAACAAACGCGTCATCCAGGGTAGATCACACGTACGCAGTCTCATGACATCGGAGAGCCCTGATCGAGGACAAATGGCCTAGAAGACAGGTCTTCTGCAACTGATCACCTTGCCAAATCTCGATGAACCAATGAACAGTCCGAGGGGCGCTTGATCTGGGATCATGCTTTCACCCGCATCTCCCAGGCCTGACAGCCAACAAGCACGGAGTCATGGGACTTAATGCACATGTCAGAATTATACATGACCTAACGCATTGGCGAAGGCGGGAGAAGGTAGCTTTGACCTTGGGGTAGCAGCATACGGAGACAAGTTCGTCTGGTCTGCGGTATTGACAGGTCACCCAGAACGATGCAGTGGGTTGTTAAATCCTTGCAGAGTCATACTAGCGGTTTCAGATCTTCGCGCGAAGCCATCTGACTATCCGGGAGGTTCGGTAGAAAATGGGAGCCAACGATCGACGCAAAATTGGGTCTGCTTTATCATAGTAAGACCAACTTCAGCGGGGTGAATCGTCACTTCAAGAATGTGCCCGGGATAGGGATCACTCTACCTCGGGCAGTAGACGTAGCCGTCTGAAGGGAGAACCTAGAGCGTTCTTACGACATATTACGCAGGGACAAAAGTCTGCCTTTTGTCCTCCTTTCAACCCCCGAACTTACGCACAACTAGGGCTGCCCTAGTTGTGCGTAAGTTTAGGGCAGGGAACATGGCTCTTGAACTTATCTTTGAGATGGTCTTTTGCCCGAAGCGTAGTTCAGCCTCCTTCACAGTCATGTGCCGTGATGCTGGAACAGAACACAGTCCCTACATTCGGTAAAACACGGACAGAGCTGCTTTTCCACATGTAAACTTTGCGATTCATCCCACAGAAGCTCTCCACAGACTAGCTCTACGGGAACGACGAACGGTATCCGAAGATTACATTGCGGCGAACGTTTTGATAGTATGTGGTCTTTCCTATTAGCTTGATACTAGCTGGATCCGATGCGATCCAAGGCAATTGCTTCGAGGGCCGGAGGGTTCTTGGACTTACTAGCTTACTAGGAATTATCGGGATGAGAAAGGTGGCTCGCGTAGCGCCTGTGGCATGATGGTGCCTTCTACAATGCTCTTCTTTGCCAGACACTGAATGGATCAACCGAAGGCATGTATGTTCTCCAGGGTTCATGCCGCGAAATGATCCTTCTTCAAAGCGTGTCTGAGGTCTTGATTTGATTCCAATGTGGCTTGTCACCTGGTGATACATATTTCAAAAGTATTCAATACATCTCTCTAGCTGCTTTTATATCTAAGATTTATCTTCTCCAGCAGGGTGTCTATCCCCTACGTCGTATTAGCAACTGGAATGGAAAACAGTTTTGTTCAAGCACCATGCGCATACATTCCACCGCCTTCGCTTCCGCTCCAAGCCGAAGATTGACAAGACGTCGAGTAAGCCTCAATGTAAATGACAAGCCTTTTGCTGGAATAAAATGTAACTGTAGCTCGATCGCTGGAAGATCTTCTTGGGTTGTTTGTCTCTGCTTTGAAAACGAGAGTCCCTGACGTTCGTGGATTTGGGCAGCGTTGATAGGAAAGGTGATTGACCGTGAGAGAGTTCTTCGCTCTGAAAAGTCAAGATTTTCCTGACCGCTGTGAGTCTGATTCGCGACATGGTTCTGGACCCGTTGAGGCCGTTGATCCAGCAAGTCGTGGCTGAAGGAAGTTGATGCCGATGTACACGTGTTCTTGACGAGTCGTCCAAGGATTGCAAAACCTTGGCTAGGTCGTGAAGTCGTGGCTCCCTTTTGCACGACTCGCTTGACCTCGAGATTATTCTGCATCCTCTCCGAAAGGTGACACTGGCGCAGTCCACCACACGCGCGCTTCTAGATGGGCATCATAGGGCTTTGGCACGCATCTAGTGGCATTCGCCGTTGCAGATGTATCCCCTCTTCCGCCAGTTCCCGAAGCTTTGGTGCTTCCGATCGGTCTGTAGTCACCGTCCAAAGCTTGCTGTTCCTCTTCCAAACGCTTCTCAGCTGTGTCGTCTGCTCCGGTATCTGCCGAAGTGTCGTCTTTTACCCGCACCCAGCCTGCCTCGTGGAACGAACTCAGTACTGCCGTGGTGGGCGAGGAAAGTAGTCCTATTTCGGCATGTAGTGGAGTATGGCGCTCAGTGGATGGCCATGGCATGTTTGCTCCAGGATGAAGCTTCTCATGGAAAGGTGAGACCGGCTGTGCGTCTGGGGAGAAACAGGATTTCGAAATGTGGTGTTCGACTCTACGTCTCTTTGAGACTGGAGTCTGAGTTGGCGCTTCGAGCTCGTCTGGCTCGCCGCTGCAGGCGACAGTGACGTTCGACTGTGAAGACCCGGCGAGTTGGCACACCGAACCTGGATGAGTAGTTTGCGTGTTGTAGCGAGAGGTGGCGGTTTTCTTGACTAGACGCCGTGGAGGAGTCTGACTGAGGTGCAGCGGGTCTTCTGATTCTGACTTGCGAGATCTGGTTCGGACGTTCGGAGTGGCGTTTGCTATCGACACCTTCGCAGTACGATCGAGCGCTTTGCGCTTACGAGTGCTCGCCGTGCTCAAAGCCGTGGTACTGCTACCATTGGCCGTTCTCATGACGACGTCGCCCAAATGAGGTTGGTAGTCTTGTATGCTTTCGTTGTGGTGGATGGCAAGATGGTGTTGTTCTGATGTGGGGGAAAGATGAAAGAAGCGGGCCGAGAGGAGAAGCCTGGAGAAGCATTGATACTGTATGGAGACCGATAGCTTCTGGTGGTATATTGCATAATTTCCTCATGCAGCTTCCCGTTAGCATTGACGAAAGCGGATGGCGGGCCCGTGTAGCACGAGCCGGAATCGCACTCCTCGCTTCATCGATGGGGCAATCAAACAAGGGCATCGTCGTCAGTGGAAAGATTCTGAAGTTCTCGTCATGGCGATGTTGCCAGCATCGGCGTAGGTCTTCTCGCTTGGTGTGCAACGTCAGAGAGCAGAGCATGCGGCACAAGAATCTTTCATTTTCTAGCTCGGTTATCGCGGCAGTGGACTGAGGCCATCTCGGCTTCAATTTGGGGACGCGGTGCATGTTTCGTAAGCCGGGATGGCTTCTCCATCAAAGGTGTTGCTGTAGTGCCCGCATCACCCCGGCGAGGATGAGCGCGGTATATCAAGCCACTGTGTACAGTGTCCATGGACTCCAGGTATCAAAGTTGTACTCATTATCAGCTGCCGCTTGTCCACAACAGCTTCAGCCTTTGATTCGCCAAAATGCGCATTCCTTTCAATGCTTGTTTGCAGTCCCATGCGGATTTCAGAGTATCCATCTATTTTATGTAACAACGTCCGACACAGCATGATACTGCGAGCGCCCCTCCCTGACCATTTACTTCTGCGGGCTAGCCTGTCCATTGTCTCCGCATTGCAGCGCACCCGTCTTTGCGACTATAAGTGATTGTGTGTGTTGTCTTATCTTTCAAGTCAATGGCGCCTTCTGCGCGGTGTGTGTGTGATCTCCGGCTAGTCTGTAGACGTCTTCGGGCTCGTCGCACGGAGTCGGGATGCGCTCGATGCGCTGCGAGGAGGATCATTCGTCGAGGACCTTCTCGTGGGCGATGCTACTGAATGGTGCATTTGCTGCGCTTGGTCGAGAGTCGACGTAACATGTACTTGGGCCAGTTGCGTTTCGCGAAGATGTCGGAGATGAAAATTTCGCGACGCCAGACCAGGTCTGAGCTGGAGGTTGACCTACCGAGGCACTCGCGGGACCGGTCCGCGATCCGAATCCGAGCATCACCTGACCGTCACCCTTGATGATTAATCTCGCGAGATCCCGTCATCCATAACATCTTCAAAGTTTAGCATCTTCTGCAAAGCCTCCACCTCAGCACCAGCACTCGCATCCTTATCCGCACCCGCATCCGCATCCGCATCCGCATACGATTCGTATTCGTATTCGCATTTGCATCCGCATTCGCATCCGCATGGTCGACGTCGAACCCACGAGACTGCATTGCGCCACGCACTGCGCCACATGCCCACCTCGCTTATGCGTTCTCGCATGGCGCGCGTCTGTTGCGGCAGTACGAGTTCTGATCAGATCCCCTCTCGGCGTCACAATTGTTACAGCGACGCTCATTTCAGAAGAACCAGCGCTTCAAGGCGATACAATGGGATGCGAATGATGGACGGAGACATGGCAAGGAGCGAGAGGGAACGGTGTATCGAGATCTAGGGACTTCGCAGGGAAATTGAGAGAAGCGCAATTTTTGGTCAAAGACGCGTAGAGGCCGAGGGCGTCAGGACACATCTTGGATCGTGCAGCAGATACCATCGAGAGACCGCGGGAGTCTCAGTTGGCAGAGAGGCTCGAGCAGTCCTGCTTGTCCTCTACGAATTATTCCATCTTCAACAAGTTGCAGCATGGGGAAGCACACGTGGTCTACTATCTCGTCATTCGAATCACTGAGCGCAAACAGGGACAACATGCTATTGCTCTATCTTCAACATAGGCGAGAACCTTTCCAGTCTCTACCGCATCACCATGGAGACTCAGGCGCACGAAAGAGGCTTGCTTCGAGATACCAAATGCTGCAGTACTCTCGCTACGGCGTTCCATCATCCATTCGGCCGTAAGTAATTTTTGTTTTGGTCTCTAGGATGCTCCATCATTTTCCCAATCGTGGATTGCGTGGCCGTGTCTCTCATCATTCTTTCAATCGGCAGGGCACCATCGCTCGTATATTTCGGCATTCTAGTCCTGGATACGCGCACGGTGTGCTGCGTACTCGCTCGCCAAGTTCTTGACATTCTGCTCCTTCTTCGCCAACTCAGAGCGCACAGCCTGAATCGCTTCACCCAGTCCCGCTCTCAGGTTGAACAGCGCCGCTTTCCCCGCCTGGACATCTTGGCTTCCCTTCTCCATCACCGCGTTGCACTCGTGAAGCGCACTCTTGACGGAGGAGAGTCGGAATCGCTGATCTAATGTCTCACCGAGCTGGAAAAAGCGTCGAAGCTCTGGGTCGTGGGACTCCGCCTGTTCATCCGTGTCTTTAGCAGCAGCTTGCGAAGCTGGCTCATTAATGGTGGCGTGAGAGGAGGAGAAAGAACCTGGCATGGCCGTGCGTTTCGAATGTTGCAGGGCATCTTTGTGATTGGTTGAATGACGTCCGCCATCGCTCTGCTCACTCTCGTCGTTGACCCGATCATCAGAGCCCGTGCCAGTGATCACGGGTTGAACTTGGGCTGGGTACGCAGGTGCTGTGCGAATAGCGGATGTTGAATTGTTGTTCCCGAAGCTGCGGTCGAGGGTAGCTGAGATATCTCTCGGCGCTACAGTACCTGGTTCTACAGTACCTTGCGCTGCAGTACCTGGTGATACAGTACCTTGCGCTACAGTACCTGGCGCTCCTCCTGCATCTTCAGCCACATCTGAGTGTGGTTAGTATTGCTCTGAACAGGTGAGTAGCTCGCTCACTCACTCGCAGTATCACCCTCTGCACCGTCCTCCCCCAAAGTGGCATACTCTGCTGAATCCGGACCAGCATTCGTCTGATCGTCTTGCTCTTCAACCTCAAGCAGCTTGACGACACTTCTCTGAAACCTCCTCTTGTCCTTGGCATCTACACTGTCCGCTTTCAGCGCCTCCGGCCCAACCTTGTGCAGAAACCATCTCACGAGCCTATCCGCTAGTGCCGTGTCCAGCGGGGCGAATCCAGTCTTGTGACCAATAGCACCAAGCATCGCAACGATGTTACTGGGCTCTGGCATCTTGAGACGGTTGTCGACGCCAACGACGCCCAGCCGGTGTTGCTCGCAGTATTCGTTCAGAACCTTCTCGGCGGACTGCTCATAATGCATCGTGAAGAAATGGCCCTTGTCATCGCGACCGGAAATGAAGTTTCTGGGCTTCAGCTTCTCGATACCAAACTGCAGACCAGGATCAGTTGAAAGCTCGCCGTACCCTTTGAGCTTAGTACTTACCAGTAGCTCTTCTAGACCCTTTGGAACCACTACGTCACGCGGACTGATGGACTTTGCTTTCGTTCCCGCCATGCTTGTGTTGGACTGTCTGAATGATGCTGGCTTCGCGGAGAGGGCCTGTTGTGGTAGGAAAAGGTGGAGAGGCAGGACCCTGGACATATTAATTTACCACATAAGCTGTTTGCTCTGCGGCCGGCGAAGGTCTGAAGAAGCAGGGAGAACAAGACGCCACAGAAGCAACAAAGTTACGTAATTGTACGTTGAAGCATAAGAAACCTAAGAGCAAAAAGCCAGCAGAAGCCTACGGAAGCCAACCACACGAAAACTTGGAGAAAGCATCCATACAAGCCAACGAAAGCTATCAAATGAGAAGCAAAAGAAGCCCTTCCCCGCAGAAGCCAAGAATACCAATCATTTCAATAACACCGATGGCTGGAACCTCTGGACAAACGGACGACCAAGCTGGCATCTTCGACAAACAACAATCTCTGTGGTTCGTACACAACACCTCGCCGTCAGTAATGAGAGCGTTCACATCAGTTGTCGCTCATCTATTCAAAGTACCGGCGAAGGACGAATCGCTTACTTCACCCACCAAAGACCAGAGTCGCCTGGGAAACCCGGACAAGATGTCTCAGAGCCAAGTACATCAGAAATTGGAAGAAGTCCTGGCACAGCTCGTCGCAGCCCAAGGAGAGCTGGTATGTTATGACTTCATGGTGACATCTTGACCAAGCTAACATTGCGCTGCACAGGACGCGGAGAAGGCGCTTCTTGCTGAGTTGGAGGCATGGGCCACTGAGTTGGGGTCCGCTCCAGAGGCTGCTCCGATCGACACAAGCATCGAAGAAAACAACGCCGGCTTGCCGCTGAATGCAATGGTGGAGAATATCGAGAGAATGCCACGCCTGACCAACATCGTCGCCTCTACCACCACGGACTTGGTGGCTGCTGTGAGCAAGAGCGTCAGTCTTGTCCTGACACCACTTTGGAACTCCGCCCTCGATGCGAGCAAGGCTATTGAGCAGCGTCGCAATGCTCTCCAGGGACCGCCTCGTCTCATGTTCGAGGACCGTGTGGGTCAGACGTTTGGTCTGAAGATTCAAAAATTGGAGCATGCTACGATTGAACTCGGCAACCAGTTGAGCGAGGCGCAAGTCCAAGAGGTCCTGGTCGACATCGGGCTTGTCTTGGATTTGATCAAGTCGATCGGTGAGCTTGCGAGCACCGTTGTCGGGGGCGCGGAGAAGGTCTTGAAGGACAACTGAGGAGTGTTTCGGGACGCTCAAATTGATTCATGGATTGCACTTGTAACAGCAGCAACCAGGCATGGAGAGAGCTTAAGAAGCAAGACCGGCATCAGTCGTGACATAGACCAGACAACGGATAGCTATGCTGGCAGTTCATTGAATTATCGTTGAGTTTCGTCTCCCAATCTGTATCATCTGCGACATATCACCCTCTTGAATTTGAGTCAGAGCCGCTCTGTGACCAACAAGCACATGTCGCCTTTTGATCCTCCTTTCAAGTGAAGGTCGTGGCTACGAAAGCTGCGGTCGTCCACGTAATGCCGCTACCAAAAGCGGGACGAGGCGCTGCAAAGCTGTGATCCGCTCGGCGCTGGCGCCTATGAGCATTCACCCTTTCCGGTAATAACAACGATTGGTGCAAACTCAAAATTTCCAAATTCGACCTCACTTCCCGAACTTCATTGCATCCTACATCCTCGTCGGGAGGACCACTTCTTTCGTCTCACTGTTTCGACGGTACCTACTCTCTTCCAATTGGTCGGCAACACCGACTCTAGGCTCCTTGATTTGATCCTTCACACTTTCATACGCAACCGGGGAAGCAATATCTACTACAGTGCACTCGCACGAAGTCAGCTTGCTAATTTACAGAAATGTCCAATGCGACACCGCATGGATCGTCGCTCGTCACAGTATTTTGCTTTATCTAGCGTCTCAAACCGCTCGAGTGGGGAGTAGTATTCCCGTTCTCGAGCCGTGACCGTCCCGGTGCACTCGAGGCTAACAGGATAGTTTCGATACCGTAAAGTGGTCGGAGAGACTTCTTGCACGTCGGTGGCAGCGAGATGTGCGGCGGTAACTAAGGTATCAAGGGACTTGCCAGCTTTTTCGGGCGATCTTCCAGATCCTGGGGATGTACATTTGTCTCCTCGCTGTCGCGATGTCGAGAGGGTTCCTTACCAGCGCCGCCCACCAGAACCGCTATATAGTACTGAACCGCAGGTTCTAGGCATTAGCAAGGCGGTTCCATTTCGATTTCTCGGTCTGTATGATTCCGCCCGTGGACAGCTGCGCGGGAGTGCGAGAGAGCCTCAAACAGAAAATTTGAAGGAGCTTTTCGGCGACTGTAGGAATCTCTAGGATCTTGCAGCACATTTGCTTGCCTTTACATGCCCGGACTATAGTTCCATTGTCGTATCATCCATTCCAGCGCTTCGTAGACTTTGAACAAATTTGGAAAAGTCGCGGTAGTCGCTATATTAAAGAGATCTCAGGCAATGGAGTCTCTAAGGTAAGATATTGCAATTACTGCGATCCTGAATTCAGTCTTCGCTCACGCATTGCTATGGCATTTAATAAATCTCTACCAATTGCCTGAAAAGACCGATCGGCTACCTTTCGTACATATAGCACAGCTGACCCGAAGGTGGAACTCGCTCAAATTAACCTGTTCTCGGGATAGAATTAGTAGATATCCTGGCGTAGCACGGTAGCCAGTTCCAATACGCCTGTAGTGTTGCTAAAAGTAGCTGTGTCTTATCCTCTGTGCCCTACAGTTAAGTCAGAAGTCACGTAAGAGTTCACTCGCGGAGAAGAAACGGGAATGCTGCGACTTGGTACGACTTAGGCTTTAGCGGTCTTGATATCTCTTTTTAGGGCTTACATTACACTCCGTTCTTCTGTCGCTAGACAAATCCCCGTCGATTGCGGCTGATATACTTGCCTGGCTGGTTCGTTACCTCAAGACCCATCCTAATTTCTTCTCTACTTGTGCTATCGTCCTGTGTTGCCCGAGCGATCAAACCCTATAATTCCTCTTCATCTTCGTCGGTCGTGAACGGACCGCTTCGATCATCTCCAGCTCGCTCGTTTCCGCCTTCTGCGCTTGTGTGGGCCCCATCACCATCGATGTCTTGAGAGCTGCTGGGTGTCTTCTCAAACCGACCACACTCCTGCTTGATTGCGACAGTACTTGAACTGCGAGCTTGGAGCTTCGCCTCCTCCTGCTGCTGTCGATCTTTCTCCTTCTTCATAAGCACAAATGCAATGGCATTGCTTAAGCTGGCGACAGCAGCATCCCAGTTGCGAGCATTGTGAGCGGCGATAGCCTGGTTCAAGACTTCTTGGAGAAATGCTGGGTCAAGCTCGATCGTCACGATGGACGAAGCATGGTATATGTCATTTCCGCGCGTCTTCGCGGGATCTGTAGCGAGGTTGCAGTTGGCTGCCGTGGAGCTAACAAGACCAGGGCTCTTGGCCTGGGCGGTAACACCGTGGTGGTCGTCGGTTGAAGGGCGAGCTTCCATACTGCTCGTGCTCTTCGCAATAGTCAGTAATGCCGTAGGCCCAATGTGATGCCAGAAGTGACGTACCTTTGGAAAAGGTGGAGTGATCAGGGTAGGCGCCAATGGTGTCTTGGCCATCGTGGGCATCTTTCGCGCCGTTGGGAGCTTTGGCATACTGATTGGTACAGATAGTGTGGGAACCGCTGGGACGAGGGATGGTGCTTGCGCGAGACCTTGCTTGAAGACCATGCCTTGTTCCACCTGGTGGCCAAAAGTACCAGGTATCTGAGTCTGGCGTGGAGAAATGCTGAGAGCTTGGAAGACAACGGTGGTCGACGGACCAGGCTCCGTGTCCATGCGGTCACCGACTTTCGATGGAGCATCACCCAGATCCATCATCGAATCTTTGACAAGCTGAGTGACCTGCAGGCCCTTGACATCCTTGGCTGGAAAATGTTTGCGGATCCACGCAATGAGGTTCTTCTTGTTCTTGACCTCTTCGTCGCCTTGCGGCCATCGCAGCTTGTTGATGTACAGATCATTGAGGCTATCACCGTCGACCTCGTCGATGCTGTCAAATAGTCTCATCCAGGCTTCGATTAGCGGACGAGCAACGGTGTACTTGTGAGCAGCCATAGCTTTGACTATCGGGTGTTTTGAAGTATGGAGAATAGACAAGGAGCAAAGAGGTCTTGGTGTTGCGAGCGACGACGTAGGAAGTGGTTGCTACAAAATTGTGAAGAAGGAGGAAGTATTATGGTGGTGTTGCGACACGATTTAAATGCAACTGGGGTGTCAGGATGCACTGCCTTGGCTTCTGCTGGCTTCTCCAAGACGGAGCGGGTAAACGTTCCAGAAAGCTCGGAGAAGCCAATAATGACTTCGCGAAATGCTATGCAAGCACAGCACCTGCGATGCTTGCACTCAGACTAGCACTGTTACCTGGTACGGGAAATCGGCAGACCTAGCCTAGAGTATCGCCTGCTATATCGGCATATGCTAGTGAAGACATTACACCACGGGCAAAGCCGCAAAGGTGTCGCAGAACTTGATCACAAATGTTGCAAGGCGCCATTCAGTTCCGTGGGCCTATACTTAGTAATACGGATACTTCACAATCCAATAATTAGAGAGTAACAGCTTCTTTCTGTCCTACAATTGCTAGGGTTGGGAAGTACAGGGTATTGTTCTGATTTTTAGGCTTGTATATAATTGAACATGTCGGCCCAGAGGGAAAACCCCTTCTAGAAAGGCGTATATATTCTGGAAAACACGTTTGTCGTTGAGCTCGAGCGCGGAGCCTGCCGCTAAGTGATGTTCTTGAAATAAATAGACAAGAGACCAACAGAGCCGTGGAACTAAGACAGCCAGGACACGAGGGCTGCTGAAGTGAAAGAATACAAAGCTTAAGAATGGTTCGATGTTAAAGGTTGGAAGAGCTCGTTAAGTTGCCAGAAAATTGTGAAGAAAACGACTCACAGGGGCGGGAAAGTTCTCGCCCTGTCATTGGTGCGAAAACTTTACGGCGGAATGATAGAGAGAGTGAGCCGGAGAACCGTGAGTGGCAATCGTGCAAAGGGCTGAATGATAGGATACTGTGCTTGTGGAGCCGTTCGTAAGGACTCGTGAGAGTGAGTGCAATCAATCTGACCTAAAAGCAAGAGGGCGGAGAGACTCAAAAAGCGCACTGGACATAAAATGAAGCGTGTATACCGGAACAGAAGCCAGAAGGACAGTAAACGGGAGAGATTCTCACGCAAGGCTGTCGCATAGCAACATGACCAGACCTTTTGCAAACCCATGGCCGAGCGAGGAATAATCGCGGCGGACGGGTTCTGATGAGCGGTTCCTGCCACGGTAGGCATGAGAGATTCGCCCATTCTTGAGCAAGCCGTGCCATCCGTTCTCCGTATCCTTCCACTCTACCCTGTGCATGCTCCATCAAATGGCCGCGGCGAGGAGCGCACGCGGGACGCGATGTTCTGCTGGTGTCAATCACGAGAAGTCTTCTTCGGCTGCCCGTTGGAGTTCCGTACTGTCGCCGGCGAGAGATGATAAAGGGAGGAAGGCTGTTCAGGCGGAGAAGTAGAAGGCGTGCGGACCACAGTGTTTGTCGATCTTGAGGATTGGCGCCGTGGTAGAACAGAGGCGAGCTAATCGCCGGTCATGCTTGGCCGCCTCTCGCTCGCTACGTAGGGTATTGGCAGTGAAGCTGATCGTAAAATTTTGTCGTCACCAGCACACCCTCAGGAGATGTCGCCGTTGGATGCTCTGGAGATGGGTTTCATGTCGGACCATTCCACGCGCTTGTGAGAGACAAGCCGCCAACCCGGTAACCATGGCAGCCGAGAATTCCTGTTTCGAAGAAAGCGATTCTAATACCGAGCGACCGTCCGCCGAGCGAAAGGAGATGAAGGCCCGAAGGGGCAATGACAGGGCAGATGTCCGAGTGCAGTACGGTACTCAGCCCTTGTCGAAGATCTGCCGGCAGATGGCCAGAGTCCGTGTATTCAGGGTCTACGCTCTTGTCTAGCTCACAATTCATTTGCTTCAGACGTTCAAATGTCATCCCTCCTCCTGTAGCGCCATCTGCCCGATCGTTCTACTCTTTGTCCAGAATCTCCAAATACCGGTCAGCACTGCAGTAGTGGCAGCCGCAACCTCTCCCGTCTTATACCCGCCTTGACCTGCGGTGCATGTTCCGATGCTGTCGAGATGTAGTAACAGGTGTTCTGCTCGTGCTTCGTCGTGTCGCTTCCAAGAGCCTTCTAGCTTGCAGTGCGCCGGATGCGCTCGAATTGTGCCACGGGAGGCAGGGAGTGATCCGAAATTGCTATATGAGAGGAAGAGCAATAGGCTGGGCCGGGTGGTGTAGGGTGTGGCGCGGTGGATCTCGATGTTGCTCGTTAAGAGGTGTTGTGATTTTCCACGTGAAGTGTGAAGCGGAACACTCCCGAGACGAGGGAACGGCCTAAGTCCATGAAGCGGAAAAGATTGGCCGAGGCGCGAAAGCTGGAGACGGGCAGCCTTCCGATTGGTTCCGCGGGCGTGCCGAGCCGGGCGTCCACCTCTTCACCTTGTCTCGTGTTGCTGCCATCTCTACATTCGACATCACCATCTCCGATTGCCAATGAACGAGATGCTTTGACGCACACACTCGCTCCACCACCGAGCGGGCTCCCGATGAATGCGTCGCGATGCAGGCTTAGCGAAGATCCGCGCGCTCACGGTCCCACGTCACGATCGCACACCACCAAGCAAGGCTGCAAGGGATGAAAATGAGACAACTTGAGTCTCGACGAGGGGGATGGCAAAGTAAGGCACGGCGCGGCTTGCGGTGAGTCTCTAATTGCCTGCCCTTGTGAACTCCGAATTGTCACGTTAACAGTAGTGCAACTGGGAACCAGACGACCGAACCCAGATCGCAAGTCATGACCCCCGCGACCAGCGCCCGAGCGCCCGAGGCTTCGAGATATCCGACTCGGAGTCGTGAGGCTAGTCTCTCATAGCATCCCCGAGTGGTCTCTCTACTTCCTCATTGCGCTCGCTTCGACGCCTGGAATCTTGTGGAAAATGAACGGTCACAAGCTTCGCGTGAGAAGGTGACGTGACTCCGCGCCATGGAAAGATTTGGACAATGCAGAGGGAACAGGATCGCATTCTGAAGAGGGAGATAGGCAAGTCGGATGGGGACATGGCCGTCACGCGCGGTTCAATGGCTTGGGGGAGGGCACTCGCTATGCTTCGTCCCGCCGAGCGAGAGACTTGAGCTGGAACTGCAGGATGTGGTATAACTGGTAAGATGTGTCGGCGCGGGGAAGTGGCGGAGTGGCCACGGCCACAATAAGCTTTGTCCTCCTCTCTGTCGAGTTCTACTTTCTCTCGTACTGGACGAGAAGGAGCGATGGGATTGCTTTCTGTCGTGTCTGGTCAGAGATGTACCAGGTGTCCGAGCAGAGATGTACTAGGTGTCTGATCGGGTATGTACCAAATGTCTGATCAGAGATTCAGAGATGTACCAGGTGTCTGATCAGAGATGTACCAGGTCCAAGTCCGAGATGGAAGAACTCAGCAGCGGTCAGGATCGCGCGTCGCCTGTCCAAGCCCCAGATGGGCGGACTCGGAGCGATATCTTCCAGCCTGCAGTATATGCAGCATTTCTGTCATTCGAGGAATGGTTTACCGGCAGCTGCGGCACTCCGCATGGAAGACTCATCTGAGTGACGATTGCAATCCGCTTTGCGTAGATGTACGCAGTAGAGGCGCCACAAGAGCGAGGCGCTCAAGAATGTGTTCATTGGCTCTTCACCTTGGTCTCCAATTGGCAACAGTGTAGCGAGTCTGGGCAGCCTGCTGAAGCGCATCCCGCTCGCACTCGCACTCGTACTCGTACTCGGGTTCGCACAAAGAAGACCGGCGTCGCAGGCCACACTGCGGTGTGAAAGGCGAGTGTGGTTGAATGCGTGAACGCGGTGGTAGCTGACTGGCATGGCGTCGTCCATGGCTGGAAGAAAGCGCGGCTCGGAGCTACAATTCCCCGGCCCACGACGTAGCCGCCTCGAAAGCCTCACAATGAATTGATTCGCCGAGTTTTGCTTCACACGTCCATCGCCTTCATCATGCGTCTCTCCTCAGGTACCATGGATTTTGTTCGACATATCCACGCGATAACCGGACGCCCCAGGACTCACGCATCGACGTTCCCTCTCCTCGGCGGATGCGACTGCCGTGTGCGCAGACGACAGGACCGAGGCGTACACCGAGACCACCATGAGCGAGCGCTGCGGGCAGCTCGACGCGCTACATCAGAGCGAGGAGGGCTCTTGCGCACCTCAATCATGAGACGGATCGCGCTACCGATGAGGGCACATCGCCTCTTTGCCCGCCACGTGCGACCAAATTGCCTGAAGAAGCACACGAACTTCGCACTCCCCGTCCAATGAAATAACAAGCATCACGCATTACCATCATCCTGGACGCAAGGCCAGACATACCGACCATCATGTGATGTAATAAAGTGCAGTGCACATCGCCGCAGATTTCTCTTGGATGAGTGCTCTGCACCGGACACCTCTTCACCAAATCATAGCCGGGCGCACCGAACGGGGAAAAGCATCTCCAGCCATCTCTTCACTGCATCAAGATTCAAGACCTGCTCGTTCAAGCGGGCAAAAGAGAGCAGGTTATGATGATCGCGCTTTAACCTCGACGTCTTTGCAGCCTGTCAACTGGCCAATGGCATCTCGGCGGGCCTTTCATTCGCAGTTCAGAATGCATAGGTATCCAGACATTAGCTCAGCTCTCAAGGATAGAGCGACCTCGCCGTCGGTCGAGACAGTGATTGTTCGCTCGCTGACTATATGTCACAGCCCAATGCGATCCGCACAGCCTTTCCGCCTTTCCAAAGCTTGATTTCCAACATCACTACCGCGGCTTGTTTCTCGATGGCAATCTGAGGAAGTCGGGAGCAATTCGATCTGGAAGAGCACCGTAACGGCTGGGTTGCTTGGCAACATGTCAGAGCAGAGGCTTTGCGTACACGAGAGAGATACGATGGAGATGCCGAGGACATCTCGTCCGCAGGTGTCCCCCAGCGAGAACATCTCCACCGCACCAAACGGTCGCAAGACCGCGCG